TATCTCAGTCACAAAAGGACAAATACTGCATGGTGCCTCTGTTGTAAAACAGGACTGACACCGGGGTTGGGGATAGACTGAGAAAGATGGGTTCAATAATGCATACTGCATTGAAACAGATTTGGGAGAAAACTGCTTAAGAGGGATATGAGATTAGGTATTTTTGTCATGACAGGAGTCCAGAGCAAAGGCTGTATAGTGGAGTGGACCTGGGGGGGAGGGATTATAAAACAATGAAAGAATTTTTCTTTTACTTTGCCAAGAGGGTACTGTACTGGGGGAGAGGGTTGGGAGGGGAGGAAAGGGCAACAATGAATCAATGCAAATTCAAAGTCTGTAAATTTTCATTGAAATTAATAATAAATTTTAAAAAAACAGAAAAACAAAACAAAAAGCAAAAGTCCTTTAAGAGAAAAAAAAGGAAAATACTACATAACTTGGGAGAGACTGGAGACCTTTGTGTTGAGTGAACTAACACAATCTCATAAGGACAAATATTGGATAAGATCATTAGTGTAAAACCAGAAGAATATCTAGTAAAACAAATATGAGAACTCAAGAAGGGGAAATGAGAGGGGTGAGGAAGGGTAGAGGTGAAACCACAGGCTCTACAGTTTGGTGGAGAACAAGAGGGAGAAGCAAATAGGGAATATCTAGGAAAACAAGACAGTGTAATGATGGGTAAGGTCCAATGGTGATCAGTTTTACAAAACATAATCCATGTGAAGGATTGTATGAAACACAATGTGATTGAAGAATAGTGTGAAACACAAAGTATACAAACTTTGTAAGCAAACAAATAAAATAACTAAAGAAAAGATGGAATAATTTGTATAGAGAAAGTGAGAATGATGATGCAATATAAATAATGAAACCAGCATCAGTGACTTGTACGTGAGAATTTGTTGAATGAGCATATGTTTGCTGTTGGGTATATTTTTACCGAAGGTAAGATAACGTTTTAAAAAATGCAATCTTCTTAATAATTAAAAAAATTCTAGTTCAAAAGTCTCCCTTCATAAGTTATTAACATTGTGATTTAACTTAAACAAATATATCAGAGGACTCTGGTGGTATTCCATAGAGAATTGTGCTACTAACCTAACAGATGAGAATTTTTTATGTTTTGACTCCACCAGTGGTTCTGAGGGTAAATCTTGGAAGCCTCCTATCATTACAAGTTTCTTGTTGTTGTTATGTGCTGTTGAGGCTCTTGAGACTCATAGCAACCCTATGTACAACATCCTGAAACCCTGCTCCGTCCTGTGCCAGTCGCACTGTCTCGACACACCCACCCCAATTACCCCAGTCACTGAATCAATCCACCTCATAGAGGGTCTTCCTCTCCTGCACTGTCCCTCCATCCTCCCAAGCAGGATATCTCTCTCCCAGGACTGGTCTCTCCTCGCAACATGTACAAAGCATATCAGACAAAGCCTCCGAATACCACTTTCCAGGATGAACCTGTTTGTTTCCTTAGGAGTCCATGGTACACTCAATACTCTTCTTCAGCACCACAGCTCAAAGGCATCAATTCTCTCTCTATCCTTCCTAGTCATTGTCCTACTCTCTGATGCAGAACAAGTTATTGCAAAGACCATGGCCTGTATCAGATGCACCTTAGTCTCCAGAGAAACACCATTTCTCTTCAGTACTTTGGAGAGGTCCCTAACAGCAAACTTTCCCATGGCAATATGTCTGTTAATTTCCTGGGTGCTAATATCAAGAGTGTTGACTGTGGAGCCAAGCAAACTAAAGCGTTGAACAATCTCAATCTCTTCATCATCCATTCTGATGCTGCTAATTAGTCTAGTAGTGAGAGTTTTGTCTTCTTATTGAGCCTCAATCCATCTTGAAGGCTGCAGTCCTTGACTCTCTGCAGCAAGCACTCCAGGTCCCCTTCAGTTTCAGCAAGCAGGGTTATGTCATCTGTGTAATGCAGATTGTTGATACATCTTCCACCAATCCTGATGCCACATTTCTCCTCATAGAGCCCAGCCTCCCGGATAATTTGTTCTGTGTAAAGGTTGAAAGATATGGAGATAGGACACATCCCTGGCATTCACCCTTGCCAATTTGAACTATGCAGTGTTTTCTTGCTCTGTTCTGACCACTGCCTCTTGGTCCAAGTATAGTTTTCCCATTAACACAATCAAGTGTTCTGGGATTCCCATTCTCTTCAGAGTTAGCCACAGTTTGTTATGATCTACACAGTCAAATGCCTTTGCATAATCAATGAAACACTGGTAGACATTCACACAAACCCAAAGAAAGGCCACTTTGAGTCAAAATTGACTTAATGTAATTGAATGTGTGAGCCTGTCACACATCAGGGCAAACTCTGATTAAAATCTGGCTGCCAAAATGTACTAAATTCTTCCTTTAAGAGAATATTTACCAAGACTATACTTTAAAGGATCATTATAGTGGAGTGGACTTGGGAGGAGGGATTATATAACAATGAAAGAATTTTTCTTTAACTTTTCAAACAGAAAAGCGAGCTGGTGGGGGAGGGATGAGTAGGGAGAAAAGTGCAAAAATGAATGAATGTAAATCCAAAACCTCTGTAAATTTTCATTAAAATTAATAATAATAATTTTTAAAAAGATTTAAAAAATCAAGTAGCGTACTGCAGCCAGAAATATAGTTAGTCCTTTTGGATTTAGAAAGTATATCCTTCTTTAATTTTCTTATTTTGGATTCTGGTATCTCAGTTGGTAAATATCAAAGCATATATGAGAACTAATTGAATGAAGTCATTCACTCCTTAAATATTACTGAGATGTGGAGGGAGTGAGTCATATTTTACTGCTATTCTTTTTTTCTTTTTTTTTTTAACCAATGTCCAAAGTCAAGATTGGGAAAGGTCTGAGAACATGAGCACATTTGGTGTTCAAATAATTTCTGTTCATTTTTGGTTGTAGTTTTTGGCAAAAAAAATGTTGGTAAGAGATTTTCCTTTTTTAGGTATTCATTGTTCACAGGTTTGGTTTGGTTTGGTTTGGTTTGGTTTGCTTGGATCCACAGTCAACACTCTTGGCACCAGCAGCCAGAAAATTAAAAGACGTCTTGCGATGGGAAAACCTGTTATTAAAGACCTCTCTAAAGTGCTGAAGTGCAAAGATGTCAGTCTGGAGACTAAGGTGTGCCTGATACGTGCCATGGTCTTTGCAATCACTTGCTGTGCATCAGAGAGCTGGACAATGACTAGGGATGATAGAAGGAGAATTGAAGCCTTTGAGCTGTGGTGATGGAGAAGAGTATTGAATATACTATGGACTGCTACAAAAACAAACAGATTTGTCCTGGAGAGGGTGAAGCTGGGCTGCTCCTTGGAGGCAAGGATTCTGAAGCTTCATCTGGCATACTTTGGACATATTGCAAGGAGAGACCAGTCATGCTTAGGAGGGCGGAGGGACAGCACATGAGAGGAAGACCCTCAGTGAGATGGATTGATTTAGTGACTGTGATAATGGGGGCAGGTGTTTCGGAGATGGTGAGATTGGCACAGGGTATGGTAGATTTGGGACTGTTGTACATAGGGTTGCCGTGAGTCACAGGCAACTTGACGGCACATAACAACAACAGCAAACAACATATTAAATTACTTTTTAAAAGTAAAAAGAGAGAGAGAGAATATTTACCATTCCTGTGATGCACAGTATAAGATCCCCTTCGCAGCAGGCAACATGTTTGGAAGAAAAGTCTTCTAGGAGAGATGCAACTTCTTTAAATTCAATCTGGGGAAATTTTTGACTAATTACAGCAGTGTATCTGGGAAAAGAATGATAACCTACTAAATTTAAACAAGAAGTTTGACAAGAAGGAGCCCTTTGCTAATGTTGCAAACAGTTGAAAAATGCACTGGTTTCTTGATTTTTTTCACAACTTTTTTTTGTCAAATAACTGTATGCTACATGATCTACAAGATTGCATTGATGAGCCTCTGCTGATTATGTGGCTCCCTGAGAAAGGTACTGTCTTCCATAAAAGTTACTGCAGTCACAAGGAGTAAGAGTCATTGCTCTATCACCATAACTAGCTGATTAGAATTACTAGCACTAGAGATAAATTGTATCCTTAGGAAGTTGTCTCCTACTCATTAAAGACAGAGATAAATACATGGATCATCTAAAGGTAAAAAAAAAAATTCATGGATCATGCTTAAAGCATGAAGGGAGCTTAGAACCCTGTTTGAGAGCTCCTGGACCTGTTTCTTTCTGTTGTGTGCTATCAAACCAACATCAGCTCATAGCCCACCCTCCAACCAGTTCTCAGAGGCAATTTAATTGCATGGGAAGAGATTTCCCATCCTTCTGCCACAGAGCCATCAATAGATTTGAACCATGGGCTTTTGGGATTGCAGTGCAGGTTCTTACCACTAGGCCACCAAAACTCCTACTAGGACCTGCTAAGATTGACAAGGAGGGATCAGCCTTTGGAGAGGTACGTCATGCTTGGGAGGGTGGAGGGGCAGCGCAGAAAAGAAGACTTTCGATGAGATGCATTGATTCCATCACTGGGGTAATGGGGATGGGCGTGTTGGAGACAGTAAGATTAGCATGGCATAGAGTAGGGTTTAGGGCTGTTGTACAAAGAGTTACTACGAGTCACAAGCAACTCGACTGGATGGCACATAACAACAACAAAAAGAGCAATTCCAGAGGTAGCCCCCTTTCTCCTTTTGGTCTCCCACCTCACAAGATTTCTCTCAATCTGATGTAATGTCGAGTTCTGAACTAACCACATAGACTAAGACTCACTTTCAAGTCACTAAGGAAACAGAAAGAGCCTATCTACAAAGTACTAATCCATTAGGCAAAACCCAAACACAGACAAGAAGATGAACCAAGCTGTCTTCTAGAAAACTTACATAGCATTTAAGACTTTCGGTCCAAATCTCATCAATGCCCCACAGATATTTTTTTGATAAGAAGACTTTACTCTTAAGTTTTGTGTGACTGGTTCCACCTAAAGGGGCGGGGGAAAAGGGGAAGCAATCAATCAAACAATTTGTTTGCTTAGAATCTACATATCTATAGAATTTTTATCTTATTAAATGTATGTATCAAGATAAATGCAAATGTACAGTATAAAGTATAGGTCATCTTCCTGATGCCTGAATTGTTCCTTAGAGGGATAAACATGATGGGTTTTCTCCGGTGGACTCGTGGCAAGAAGCTGTGCTGCAATTCCGAAGGTGAATGGTTCAAATCTACCAGCTACTGTGCAGGAGAAATATGGGCAATCTCCTCCCATGCAATTAACTGCATCTGAAAACCCACCAGAGAGTCATCTGTGGCTCAGATCCAAAAATAGCATGATGTTCACCCCATGGGGCTCTGGTGTGGCCTTCTCTTCTGAGATAATTCCATTTTATGGGTAGTCAAAAGAAGACCTCCAAGCACAGAAGTTAAAATGGCCATCTTCCACCTGACCATTAACTCAGTAGTGTTGCTTACCAGATGTAAGACAGGTGAAGTCAGGAGAAAGATTCTAGAAATAGGAACTCTCTTTCAAGTCTCTCAGTGCATGAGAACATTTAGATGAGCATCTCATAACCAATGTGTTGAAACCAGCAAAAGTGGCAAGAGAAAAGACATCAGTAATTAACAATACTGAAGATGTGTGGTGTTGAAACAGTTCTTAACCTTTAATGAGATAAAAGCAATACCCACCCTTGTTTGAAAGCAGCTGGCTTTGTCTTCTTCTGCACAGCATGCCTTAGCCACTTCCTCAAAATGAGCAGTAGTGGCTAACAGTGTCAAGGGGAAGACAAACGGATCTCTTCTGGAAAAATCATAGATATACCTATTAAAAAGAGAGAGAGAGAAAAGGTTAAGTAGGGAAGAATCATAGAACTAATGAAGGAAAGACAAGGTAATGAGAGGGAAGTTCAAGAAAAGCTAGGACAGCAAGACAAGTCATAAAAATGAAGGCAGGAGAAAGAGTTTGTAATGATAGATAGCTTCAGTGTGAAGCTGACTGATATTATACAGTTCCCCAGGAAAGACCTTAAGAGTCCTTATCCCTGAAAGGGCAAGTGACAAAGTAAGGGTCCTAATCACATCTCTGATCCTAAGCACTGAACACCAGAACACACTTACTCTCCTTCCCTCCAGTCGTCAGGTCAACAGCTCTCCCTTCAGGTTCAATCACAGCTTCACACTCTGCCTTACATGCACAGATCCTAGTCACTGTGTTAAAATGAACTTGAGTTGTGGGTTACAGTGAGTGGATTAGTTTTTGGGGAGGGGGGAAATAATCTCTTCCTCTGTACTGATAGTACTACTGAAAACAGATTTTTATTTAGTGTCCAGTCATTTAATATTTATGTCAGTAAAAGATGCACCTTCTTCTCAGGCTGAATATATTATTTCCTTCTTAATATTTCCTAGAAACTTGGCACAGTGCACATTCCTCTAAGGCTTGTCCCATCATCAATGTGTTATTGTCATCTTTATTATTGTTAGATGAGTTTGAGTAGGAACTCATAAATGACCTTCTAGTAGTTTTTTCAAAGACTGTAAATCTCCATACCTTTTCAACCTATATGCAAAACAGATTATCCGGGAGGCTGGGCTCTATGAGGAGAAATGCGGGGTCAAGATTGGTGGACGATATATCAACAATCTTCGTTATGCAGATGACACAACCCTGCTTGCTGAAACTGAAGAGGACCTGAAGCACCTGCTGCAGAGGGTCAAGGACTGCTGCCTACAATAATGATTGAGGCTCAATGTCAAGA